ATGCCACCCCCACCAGCCTGATCGCCCCTCACTAACTCCCCCACCAGCCTGATCGCCCCTCACTATGCCACCCCCACCAGCCTGATCGCCCCTCACTACACCCCCCCACCAGCCTGATCGCCTTGCCCCTCACTACGCCACCCCCACCAGCCTGATCGCCCCTCACTATGCCACCCCCACCAGCCTGATCGCCCCTCACTAACTCCCCCACCAGCCTGATCGCCCCTCACTATGCCACCCCCACCAGCCTGATCGCCCCCTCACTACACCCCCCCACCCGCCTGATCGCCTTGCCCCTCACTACGCCCCCCCCACCAGCCTGATCGCCCCTCACTACGCCACCCCCACCAGCCTGATCGCCCCTCACTATGCCACCCCCACCAGCCTGATCGCTCCTCACTATGCCACCCCCACCAGCCTGATCGCCCCTCACTACGCCACCCCCACCAGCCTGATTGCCCTCACTACACCCTCCCACCAGCCTGATCACCCCTCACTACACCCCCCCACCAGCCTGATCGACCCTCACTACACCCCCCCACCAGCCTGATCGACCCTCACTACGCCACCCCCACCAGCCTGGTCGTCCCTCGCTAACCCTGCTGCCGGCCTTGTCGCCCCACACAGCCTGCTGTTTGGTTGTTACTGTCATGGCGTTGTGACCAATTTGCATATTACCCTTTTATTAGTATAGAGTGTTTAAAGTCTGGAGAAAACTAGGGATGAGCAGATCGGTGCTGCCAGGGTTGAGGGATGAGGGGTGGGGACAGTGCAATGACGGAAGGGTGGCCCTGGGAGGTTTCAGTGGTGATGGGAGAGACTGCTGTGGATCCTGGCTGTGGGGACCTCCACGCAACGCTGCGCCCCCAAAAAAGTCCATTCTACTGTACGAAATTTTAAAAATTTAGGAAGATAATGCAAAACTAATAACTTGGTTTTTTCTCCCTCTCTACACTTTTGTTTCTGCAATGAGCACGCGTTACTTGTCATTAATCTACTTTTAAAACCCATACATTCAGTCTGACTGCAGAACATAAAGCAGTCATCCTTGACTTATTCTTTTTTTTTTTTTTTTCTGACTTATTCTTAATGAACCCAGGGCTCCTGAAAGAAAACCTCCCAGCAGACGCCGCTCTTTCGGGGGCTCTGGAGACAGAGCTGAGGGTGCAGAATCCTCCTCAATGCAAGACGGCTGAAATAAGTGAATCCTCGGATCACACACTCAGGTAACGAGGGACATCGCTGTTATTTTCTCACCGTCAGAACCCAGGTTTTCAGCAGAGCAAATGCATCAGCTTCTCTACTAGGGCTGCTCCGTAAAGAAAAACCACAGCCCTCCTGGGGGACACGTTTAACTGGATTCACTCAAGTTGTACCGAAGACCACGGGAGCTGTTAGGCATGTCACCCCCGATCCTCACGGAATTTGTCCCAAATCAAGAGTTGGCAAACTTTCTCTGTAAAAGGCCAAAGTGCAAACACTTTTGTAGGCCACGCAGTCACAAAACTCTCTGCGTGGAGAACAGAAGCAGCCACAGGTAATGTATGAATGAATGAATGTGGCTCCTATCAACAAAACTTTATTTGCAAAAGCAGGCATGGTGGGCAGGATGTGGCCCCTGGGTTCAGTGGCTGGCTCCTGTTCTGGAGGAAGGAGGGTGACTGTGTGTAAATGTAAAGAGAGGGGCAGAGTAGAACCGGCCGCTACGGAGCGCTCACATCTTAGCCCGAGAGGAGAACGGAGGGGGGAGGAGAAAGGGCCAGGAGAAGCCCGGAGCAGGTGAAAATTTGCCAGGAATCAGTGCCTTCCAGGAGCGAACAGGCAGCGGCAATCACAGAGGTCGGCTGGGGTGAGGCTGCAGGAAGCAAAATTAGGACGAGGCACTGCCATCTCCAGAGCCATCAACAAAGCAACGGAGACAGCAGCCAGGTGCGGTGGGTAGGGCACTGGGTTGAAGGCTGGACAGTGACTGGGGGGGTCGGGGTGGAGATGGCAGGGCACGGCCAGAGGTGGGCGGTGGGTAATGGGGTTCAGGGGGAAGGCTAAGGCTCCCAGGCAGACGGAGATCCCTGAACCACAGGGGAGACGCAGGGACCAGGGGGCCAGTGCACTAGGAGGAAAGCGTTACCGCCCGCAGTGGCCACCACGCCCGGAGACACTGCGGCTGGCAGGGCCGGAGTGGAGCTGCTCAGCACCTTACGCCGCCCACAACCAAGACCATCCAAACCCAATGGCCAACCCGCCGAGGCGGACAGGACGTGTGCTAATCACATACGGGGGGAAGTCAAGGATGGAGCAGGGTGGGGACCCCAGGGGTCAGCCCAGTGATCTCTGTGAGTGAGCTGGCGGGAACTCGGGGCAGGTCTCCGGGAGAAGCAGAGGGCAGGAGCGGCCCAGGGAGTGACCAGGGTCCGGAGCGCACGAGAGAAGACGCACCGGAAACATCTCATGCTGCCGTGAAGAATTAGGGGGATCTAGAAGCAAGGGTTTTCCACCCCGATGAGCACTGGACCCCGCGAAGCTCTGCGGGTTTATACTGTGCTTCATCTCACACTGCCTTCCTTTCTGACTTGGCGATGGCGGGGTATTCTTGGGCCAGGGCCAGCCAACCCGAGGAGAACCAGAGAAGCCGTGGCCAGTTCAGCAAAGCAACAAGGGGTTCCACAGAAGATGAAGTGGGGTGACAACTTTGAGAAAGAGCCCCTCATTCCTTAGCACTCCCAGTGACTTCCCTCCACCCTCACCCAGCCAGAAGGCCCCACCTGCTGACATTAGAGAGTGATGTGTAGTTTCTCCCTGCCCCCAGCCTGCCACGGGGATGCTCTCAGCCATCCTTAGGGTTTTGTTAACCATTCCTGCGGGGCTGGGGGCAGAGGCCCAGACCCAAAAGAACGGCTTTGTGGGAAACCAGTGCCCTGGCCTGGACGGGTGGCTCAGCTGGTTAAAGTGTCTGCCTGTGCACCAAAAGGTTGCAGGTTCACTCCCCAGTTGGGGCACATACAGGAGTCGACCAATTGATGTTTCCTTCTCACATCTCTATTTATTTCTCTCTCTCTTCCCTGCCCGCTCCTCTCTCTCTAAATATCAATTTTAAAAACACACACAAACATATCCTCAGCTGAGGATTTTAAAAAAAGAGAGAGAGAGAGAAAGAAACCAGTGCTCTGAAGACAGACTAGCTGAGGTTCTAATCCCAGCTCCGCTACCTGCTGGCTCTGTAACCTAATCAGTTTCCTCTCCTTCTCGAAAAGGAATACTGAGCTCTATCTCACAGGGTTGTGATGAGGATTAACTGAAATGATATAGGCAAAGCATTTGCCATGACTGTTGGTTCCGTATTGCCCGGAGATAAAGGAGTGCCCAGGACAGCGTAAGGACAGGAGCTAAATCAAGAACAAACATTTACCAAACACCTAAGGCCGTGGCCAGCAAACCGCGGCTCACGAGCCACATGCGGCTCTTTGGCCCCTTGAGTGTGGCTCTCCCACAAAATACCATGGCCTGGGAGAGTCTATTTTGAAGAAGTGGCGTTAGAAAAAGTTTACGTTTAAATAATTTGGCTCTGAAAAGAAATTTCAATCGTTGTCCTGTTGACTAAGAAGTTTGCTGCAGAAGAAACATAAAGCTCTGCCTGGTGGGAACTAATCCCGTAAGAAGTGATAATGCCACCTACTGACCCTGGCAGCCCAGGCACCAACCCACACTTATCCCCAAAGCCGTGGGAACAGAGGAGCAGGGACCACGGTGAACGCGCACAGAAACAAGCCCTGGGTCAGTCGGACAGTGTGTCCCGCACTTTCTCACAGGAGCCCTTCTTGGAACGCCTGCCGTACACAGGCGCTGAGGGGCTCTGGACACACCCTGTGCCATGGGCAGAGGTGCCCAGCAAGCCCGGTCTGCCAGCTCCAGAGCCTGGGTGCTCTCTCACACTCCTCATTCACCATCAGGGAACTCATCAGGAGCTTCTGTCCCTGTTCTCTCCAAACCCTTCCTCATCACAACCGGTTTCCTTTGGGCAAATGTGAAGGGAACCAAACGGATACTTTTAAAGCAGGGCCTCGGACATCAAGGTGCAACACCCCAGCTGTATGCTCTTAAATGATTCTTCGGTCCCACAGCCAGCAAGTCCCGGTCTGATGCACCAGGGAGGGACTGAGGATGGGGGTCCTCAGTGTAGGGCCAGCACAGGGACACCAGGGGGGCGCCGGTGGTCTGAGAGGCTCACCCGGTGAGAGACCTCCTGGGCGCTGTAGGGGAAAGGTTATCAGGGAGAAATGGGACACCGGGCAGCACACACAGCGGTTCCAGTCCTCCCGCTGGCACTGCCTTTGGGGCAGTAGGCTATGTCTCCTCCCGAGCTGTCCCCTCCGCTGTGAAATGGGTGGACAGCGGCAGGTACCGCCAGGGCCACGGGCAGGACTCAGGGAAATCAGACATGAGACATAAGCACAGTGGCCTGGGCAGCGATGCTAATTATAATAAAGCGTGGCAACAGCCGCCGCGGCGTCTGCCAGGACAACTGCGCTGTTGCCACGGCGCTGGAGTTTGCCTCCGGACATCTGGAAACACGAACACGAGCCAAAAGGGTAAACATGGACCCGCAGTCCCAGGTGGCCGCGGGCCTGGATCTCCAAAGCGGGGGGGAGGTCGCCGATCCCGGCCCGGCCGCCGCACCTCCCCGCGGGGACCCCAGGACCACCCGGTGTGCGCGCCGCGGGCGCCGCGTCTCCCAGGCGCCCGGACCGGGGACCCCGGACCACGGCCCGCTCCCCGAAGGCGCCCCGAGCCGCTGGGCGCAGGCGGGGCGGGAGGGGGCCGCGGGGCGGCGCTGGGGGAAGCTCCTCCGCCGGGGCCCGCGCGGGGGGCGCCGAGCCGCGAGCCCAGCGGCGGAGGCCAAGGTCAGCCCCCGCCCCTCCCGGGAGGCCCGAGCCCCGCAGGCCGCTCCTTCTGGACCAGGGGACCCTCCCGCCGCGCCGCCCCGAACCCGCGGCCGCACTCACCCTCTCCGGGGAACGGGTGGCCCGCGGCGCCGGGCAGCAGCGCGCTCAGCGCCGCCAGCAGCAGCGGCAGCAGCGGGGCCGCGGCCCCCCGCGCGCCCCCGGGGCCCATGGCCGCGCGGCCGGCTCAGAGCGCGCCGCGCCGGGCCGCCGGGCTCATGCTCCCGGGGCCGCCGGCCCCGCGCCTCCTCTCCCCGCGGGCGGCTCCTCGTCCGGCTCGGGGCTCCGGCGCGCGGCCTCGGCCGCTGGGAGCGCGGCGGCGGCGCGGCCGGGCCGCGGGGGGATCGCGGGCCTGGTCCCCGCGCTGCGCCCGGGCCCTCCTCTCGGCCCGGAGGCTCGGCCGGCGGTCGGGGCGCCGGGGCCGGGTCGGGCGGCGGACGGCGGACGGCGGCCGGGGCAGGCGGCCGGCGGAGCGGGACTGCTCGGCCCGTAAACAACGCCGCGCGTCAACGGGCCGTCAGGCGGCGAGAAAAGACGGCGCGGATCCAAGCTGGAAGGGACTTGGCGCCCGCGGAGAGGCCTTCGAAGGGTAGCGGGAGGCCGGGCCGAGGGCGGTGCCGCCCCTCCCTCCTCCCTCCCTCCCGCCTCCCCGCCGGCTCCCGGCCCCGCGCGGGCGCCCCATCCCGGCCGGCCTGGGCCGCTGCCTCCGAGGCGGGGCGCCCAGAGGCCCGACGCGGGGAGACCGGTCCCGCCGTTAACATTTGGCCATAGTGTTCTTCGCGGCCTTGGGGGCGTTCCTTTTCGTTTTCCACATACTGCGTTAAAACCTATTTTTCTTGGTTGCTTGGATTCCTGATACTCTTAACTGTCCTCCCAGCCCAGCCGGCGAGTCCAGACCCAGAGCCCCTGCCCCTCCCGAGGCCCCGCCGCCCGCGAGGGCTCCCCCGGCGCCAGGCCCCCGAGGCCAGCCACGTGCCCCGCGCTCAGCGAGCTCCTGCCCCGGCCCCTCGGGGCGCCTGCGGCTCAGGGTGGGGAATGACAGCGGGAGAGTGTGCAGGCCTCGCCAGAGCGCAAACCAGGCTCTAGACATCCTGGGTGCCCCGCACACCCCCCACTCCAGCGTGACCTTGAACCACTGACTTCCCTCTCCCTGCGCTGGCCTCTCCTGCATGACGGATGTGACCATTAGCTGCCTGTCGGATCTGGTGAGTGGCAGGAGAATCCGAGCATGACAAGCCACCCAGCTCAGCTCTAGATCCAAGGCCTGCCTTCCCAGTCTGCCGGGAACTTGGCTGCTGTTCCTCTAAGCTAAGGCTCCAAACCTATTCCTGTCTCCAGGCCTTTGCCCCAGGTCCCCCCGCCTGTACTCCCGCTGCCCAGCTCCACCTCCGTTCCAGTGAGCCTTCCCTCAAATCTCCTCCCCAGCCTCTGTGTCCCCTTCCCTGTTGTGGACATATCACCTGTATCTCCGCCTACAATGTTTGTTTGTTTGGTGTGTGTGTGTCCGCCCCTCCCCCCGTGCGGGCAGAAATCTTGTCCATCTTGTTCACTATGTTATACCCAGCGCCTGATACTTGTGTTCTTAACACATGTTTGTTGAATAAAAGAACTAACAAGCAACAAATAATGGGGATTTACAGTAAGCAAAATTTCCTTGTAGATTCACAGTCTGGGCGGGGAGAGGGCCATTCATTAAAGAACCGAATGAGGGGAGTCCTCCAAGGAAGTGGTTTTGAACTGAAACCTGAAGAGGAGGAGTAAGCAGCCAATGGGAGCATCAGAGAGGCGCTCCGGCAGGAGGAACAGCATGTGCGAAGGCCCAGAGGAGGGCAAACGGGTGTTCCTGCGGCTGAACCGGCACTGTGGCCGGAGCACAAACGGAGGGAGCTGAACTGGGCGCTCTCTCTGAGCTGGCCTCTTCTGCATGCTGACTAAAGGGGCAGAGCCTTAAAACCCATGCCACCTTATCCTAAAAGAGTGGGGAGGCATTAGGAGGTTACACAAAAGCCTTAACATAATCAGCTTTTTGCCCACCATCTGCTGGAGGGCAAGAATGGACCATCAGAGGACAAAGAAGGTGACACAGTGCCAGAGGGTCGGGAAGAGTGCATTCCATAATGCTGTGCCCTCCTTCTTGGGCAAACCTGCCCGGAGCAGTGGGCTTCCCTCTGACCACGGGAGCCCCAGAGCCCCACAACTCCGGGCAGGCAGCGGGCGCTGAAAGGGCATCAAAGGGACCGCGCTGTCCCCTGCAAATCCTTCCTGGCACGGGACTTCCGCATTGGGTACAAAGGCAATCATTTCCGCCCTGGCTTGCTGGGGGAAAATTAAGACACCGCTTCCCAGAACCCCTCCTTGTTCCTTCTGGATGCCTCCCGCCACCCTCCGAAAAAGCAGGCATCTAGGAACTGACAGCCAACCTCTGCCTTTTATTAAAATCATTGGGATAGAAAAACCACCACTTGGCAATCGCCAAAATAACTCAGGCAAGAGCCATCAACGAATGCTAAAGCTAGTGGTTGGAAGTTTAAGAAGTAACAGAATATTTCCATGGTCCTCTGAAAAATACGTGCCAACAATAAAAGGGAAAAAACGGTAGCTTTGTGGAGGAGAAAGCTGGCAGATACCCCTTAAATACGGGATCAACCTTAGTCCTGAATTCTTTTTTGAGTAAGAGACACAAAGGGGACGACTGAAGCCTAAGAAGACCTGATATCAACATTAATTTTGATTATTGTGCTGAGGTGTCAGAGAATGTCCCTGGCTTTAGGAAATATACGTGAACGAAGTATGTAAGGGAAAGGGGGCATAATGTCAGCCACTTACTTCCAAATGTTTCAGAAAAAAAAATGAGACAGAGAGAGAGGACAAAGCAGAGGGGATGGAAGTGATGGAGCTGGTGAATGGAGAAGAGGAGCACTATTTGTGCAGCTTCGCGGAGTCATCATGTCACCATTAAAAGCTTAAAAAGTTTTGGAAAACCATGTGGGACTTTTTGTTTTGCTTGTTTTTCCTCGATTGCCTTTGGTTTGACACTTAGACACACTGTCCTCTGAGGTGTGGTCCAAAGAGGGAGAGGTGCTTCTGTCGCCGTGGAAACAGGGTCCTCTCAGAGTCAGGAGGAGAGTCTTCCTGGGGACCCGGGCATAGGAAGCTGCGTGTCAGGGTAAGGTTTACTGGGACAGAAACAGAAGCTGACCCCAGGTCCCCATTGTCCATCTCCACCCATCCCGCTGTGGGGAAAAGTCCAGCCTTGTCCTCATCAGGCCTAGAACCAAGGCCAGTGTCCAAAACCCTGCACCATGCCAAGGCCAGCCTCTGTCCTTGTCCTGGTCTGGTCTCTTCCCAGCTGCACTCCAGCTGCCATGCATCTGCACGGAGCCTGCCTTTGGAGTCACGCAGCTGCTGGCGTGAGCTGCTAGGGCTGCATGGATGCTGTGGCGAGAAAACGTGAACAAATGGGGCAAGCGTATGTTTTGGGGAGGGAGGGAGGGAGGGAGAGAGGGAGGGAGGGAGGGAGGGAGGGAGGGAGAGAGAGAGAAAGAGCGCGAGTGCGAGGCGCTTTGTAAAGCTTGGATTATATTATGGCGGGTTTGAAAAGGAATAGGTGGTTTTTCAAAATAACTGATCCATTTCCCAGTCCTTCTGGGTTAGGTGGTTTTGGTCCTCCCCACAATCAATCCATTTCCTAGTTTTCAGGGGTTCTGCGTCCCTACCCAGTCCTGTCCTTTCTCCAGGCTCAGGTCTGCCCCCTTACGGTGCCATCTTGGTTCCTCTGCACATGCCTCGTAGTAGACACGCTCCCCTGTGCCATCTTAGCTTCTATTGGGCATGTGCCCAGCACAGCAATTTCCCTTTTATTTCTCCCCCACTCCTCTCCCCCCCCCCCAGTCTGGGCAAATGGACCAGCTGTATATTGGGGAGACCGAAAAACTGGCTCTTCCTCTGCATGGGGGGAAGGGAGGGCACTGATCCCCCAGAATTCCCGGTGGGGAGCTCCTGAGGGCGGCAGCTTCCTGATGAAGCAGGCTCACTGTCCCTTCAGCTCCCAGGTGTTGGGCATGGCAATGCCTGACTCTCTCTCTCCCTTTCTTAGCTAATAGTGAGCGGCCTGTGCTAACCATTTCACGTTCATGGACATCAACCCCTGATACCTGCTTTTGTTTCTCCCCATCAGGCAGAGCCTGGGGAGACTCCACCACCACCTCTGGGTCTTCCTTTAGCATGTCCCTGTGGCTCCACGTCCCTCCCTCCAGTTGCTCTGCATTCCATTAAAGCAGGAAAGGTAACGTAAATCCTAACTCCTGTGTTGTCAGGGAAATTTGTTTTAATACATTACATGTGAATAATAATGCAAAACCTCAATGTCAAGAATTATGCCGAAACCGGTTTGGCTCAGTGGTAGAGTGTCGGTCTGTGAACTGAAAGGTCCCAGGTTCGATTCCGGTCAAGGGCATGTACGTTGGTTGCGGGCACATCCCCAGTAGTGGGTGTGCAAGAGGCAGCTGGTCGATGTTTCTCTCTCATCGACGTTTCTAGCTCTCTATCTCTCTCCCTTCCTCTTTGTAAAAAATCAATAAAATATATTTAAAAAAGAAAAAAGAATTTACAACAGCCCTAGCTGGTTTGGCTCAGTGGATTGAGCATAGACCTGAGGACTGAAGGGTCCTAGGTTGGATTCTGGTCAAGGGCACATGTCTGGGTTGTGGGCTCGATCCCCAGTAGGGGACATTAAAAAAAAAAAAAATTCACAACATAACTAGGCAGAAGAATAAAAGATCACAACACATGCCCTACCTGATTTGGCTCAGTGGATAGTGTCCACTTGAAGACCGAAGTTCAATTTTTTTTCTCCTTTTTAAGGATTGTGTTTTTTTAAAGTACATTTTATTGATTTTTTACAGAAAGGAAGGGAAAGGGATAGAGAGTTAGAAACATCAATCAGCTGCCTCTTGCACACTTCTACTGGGGAAGTGCCCGCAACCAAAGTCCATGCCCTTGACCGGAATTGAACCTGGGACCTTTCAGTCCGCAGGCCGATGCTCTATGCACTGAGCCAAACTGGTTAGGGCCCCAGGTTCAATTCTGGCATGTGCCCAGGGTTGTGGGCTACACCCCCAATGGGGGGTGCAGGAAGCAGCTGATCAATGATTCTCTCTCATTATTGATGTTTCTATCTCTTTCCCTTTCCTCTATAAATCAATAAAAATATGTTTTTTAAAAAGAAGGAGAAGGAGGAGGAGGAGGAGGAGGAG